TATTATATATATATATATATATAAAAGTAAAGTTTCTACTTAATAAGTTCGCAATTTTGATTTCTATATTTAGTACAAAATTACGACTTACAACTGTCAAAAGGATTATATTGACGTTTAAATTGTTCAAGATCATAAAGTGGATTAATCGAGCAATATCTGATGACTTTTGAAATTTATCATTTAATTTAACTTCAGGATAATTGAATCGATAAAACTGGAAAATGATTTGAGTTATTGAAGGATGTGAAGAGGAAGATATAGGAAATATATATATATAGTGATGTAATTATTTTTAATTGTTCAATAAAGAGAATTTCAGCAGAAATGGCTATCTGAAAAGTGAGTAAGTGGAGTTAAAGAAATCTTCCATGAAGCAAGAATCTGAAATATTTATTAATGTCTTTGATATCAATGAATTATGTCAATATGTTATATTGAAACAAGTATTCGTGTCAATATATATCACATTGTGTTGAGTAGAAGAATGAGTGGAATTGTTTAAATTCTGTAATTTATTAAATTGATTAATATCAGGAATTTGAATTTTTATATTGAGAAGCATTTAGGATTAAATATAAAAATTCAAATTAATAATTGCAATTATGATCTCTTTATTTGTGTAAAAATACAGGATATCCACGAAGTCTTCTCTAGTATAGTAGATAAAACACTAGTTAGTCGTTGGTTCGAGCTCGACTGCGTGGTTTTTAGGATTTTATTTACATGTATAAACCTAAATTAGGGTCTAATTTCTCACGGAAGACCTCTTTGAAGGTAGCACACCCCCTCTTAGCATATCGCTCTTGTGTTGCATTGTATTATCCCATAAATACAATTATGTGATATTTAATTCGTGTTTGTTGCACCTGAAACACTAACTAATCAATCGATTGTGTTTACAAGTATAGAATGTTGGTATTGCTCGGTTCTCAACCAGTGGTACACGTACCACAAGGATACCCGTTAGTATTACAAATCTATACAAGAAGACTCAGATGGTACACGAGTGAAAAAAGGTTGAGAACCTTAACGAAAGTATAGAGGGGTCTAACTACAAACATAACAAGTAAATGTATCTGATAGCCTACGTAAAATTTTTATATAATAAATATGATGGACATCCTGTACTTTTATTAATACATACAATAATGAAATTAAGATTATATTTAATTTATTATTTATATCTCACTTAATTTTATAGTTTAGACAGAAGATTAATAAATTATATATTGCTGGATACTCAGTATCACTCGTTGCTCTGTTGATATCGCTTGCAATTTTCTTTTATTTTCCGTGAGTATAAATATTAACTATTTATAAAAAGTAAGAAATTAATCTAAACAACTGACATAGATAATAATATTGGTTTTAGTTCACTTCAGTGCATTCGTATTACCATTCACAAGAATCTGTTTTTCTCATTTATCATGAACAACATGACATGGATCATATGGTATACCGAAGTGGTTCAACACGTAGAAGTTTTGGAAGCAAATAATGTAAAGATTTCATTAAAAATTTTAAATTTTTATACAAATATTTTATATAGTAAAAGAATAAATAAACCAAACTTGCAGATAGGATGCCAAATTTTGCATATAGTTGTATTTCTGGTTTAGAAATTATCTTCATAATAATTTTCTCCTAAAAGTGAATTAAAACAATTAATGAAGGATGAAATGTCTAATTACTAGGTTCTAATGGGCATTTTTTAAAATATAAATTTAAGTTAATTTTAATTAAAATTATTGTATATCATTTTACAGTATTTAGAAAGTATAATTACAAAAACTTTTATTAATTTTATCTGTTTATGGTCCCGAAATACGAGTAGGGTCTTACAGATGTTAAGAGATTTCTGGTCACTTGTCCTTTAGGGTATTTAATGTGTTAGGCCCAGGGCTACATGGTTAACTGACTTTTGAGCAACATTTTTATTTGATTCGGTGTCGTATTCACCTAGGGCCAACGAGCCCCCGGTGAGAGGCTAAAAGGTCCCTTAACAATTAATTAGTCAGTAAATATTTAACGATATATTGCATAATCATGGTAATAACCGTAAGTGTTGTTTATATTTGTCACAGTTACACACAAATAAACACAATTTAACACACAAATAATCGTCCTTGGATTCCAAAAGAGCCTATCACTCCAGAGATTGCTTTACTGTTTTAATTAATGCCATTGAGTACGTAACTTCATACCGATCGAGTGAATCATTCAACGAATAATCTAATACTGGAAAGTTGATTAACAACTGCAACTGCGTGACATAATACATAATGCTAATTAATTGAGTTTATGAAAATTTTATGCTACGTTATTTTCATTACAAAATCGATTTACATTACTAAATTGTTAAGTGATACTTCACCAAATACACAGTAATGAGTTGTATTTACGAAAATAAGGTTAACTTTATATGTATTTTTGGCATTATTTTCGTCTTTATTAAATACAGGGTGGCCTAAAAGACAGTTAACCGAGTTATATTTTTAAGATCGTCTTATAAGAACCGTTATTAAAATAGTTTTAAAAACACCTCTATATATCAGTTAACTGATTTTTTGGCCAATCTATTTAAACCGAGATAACTCGGCTAAATATGAAAATACTTAAAAAAATATGTTTCAATCGAATTTTACAGAATGCAGAAAAGAGGAAATTTTCAGATTAGATTTTATAAGGAAGTTAAACGAGTATACAATATTATCTATTTTCAATAAATTATCAATCGAATAATCGATAATTAAATTATTAATAATTTCATCCAGGCATCGTGACCACGTCACAATAATTCGATTTTTAATCCGATATGATTAATGATCTTTATTTCTTTAAGACTTATTATCCGGGGATATGGAAATAGCCTATGTCAGAGATGGCGAATCTTTTTCATCTCGCGTGCCATAAAAAATTACAGTCGGTGAAAATGTTTGATTTTCACGGACTTTTTATAGTATCAGTGGTGCTGCATCCGAATCTGGCAACAAAATTGGTCTAACACCCACCACTTTTGAAATAAACAAGGTTTTTGAAGGAAAACATTTTCTGTTCATTTTTATTAGCTAAACACAATACCATTTGGCTAATTAGATACAAATATATTTATGTTAATTACTCGTTTTTCACAATTCCGCACATTTATAAACCGAAACATTCAACGATACGTTTTCGTCCTTTTATATTCTTCTTCTGTAGTTCCTCGTTGTTTATTCCATCACTTAATCCGCTAATATATTCTCGTTCCGCCTTTCTCTATATCGATCTTACATTTGAGAAAGAGTCTGATGGAACCTCCATGTTTATCAGAAACAGTTCCTAGGTTGACGGGGAAAAATCTAAATAAAAATGCAGGAAATGCATCTTGAGTGACGTATTGCAATCTTGTGTTTGGTCGGGTGTCTTTAACTTCACGATTTCCTCGTAGTTGTTCGCTCGTACATTCCCCAAAAATTCTTGTTCACGTTTTCGAATGCTGACCTTTCTGCTGAATTAAGTTTTGTCTCGAAACAAGGATACTTCTAAAGCTGTCTTACTCGAAGATCAACAAAAATGTCCTCCTTTACTTTCGCATAGCTCAGATGAGAAAACTTTTGCTTCGGGTAAGCAAAGTCTTCTCCTCTGTCCGTGCCTTTCACAAAGTTTCTCGTCAAACTCAGCTTGATCTGAAGAGGAGGTAAGAGGATTTTAATTTTCTCCACCAGAACCCAGTGACTGTCTCACTCGCATAAAAAATAGCAGAATTTAGTGTTTCCTCCTTGAAGATCCGTTAGCATTGCAACAACTTTGAGATCAGCGCATACATATTCCAATTATGCTCATTGTATTTTATCATGTCCAGCATTACCTTCACGTTATCGCAAGTTTCATTGTATGTAAACATTTCATGTAAACAGCATAAGCGACAGGATCGGATGGATGTTTGTTGCCATTGTGCAGCAAAACTCCTTTAAGGACGAATTTTAATGGGTCAATAAAGAGTCTCCACTACGCAGGATCCTGCGGCAGCTGTAGCTCATCTATAAAATGCGGTATATCGTTGCAAAACCGAGATTGCCCCCATTGAAAAAATCTTACATTTCCTGATTCCTTTCTCTATAATAGGACACCTTAACTTCTTTCTCCTAGAGTTTCCACCTCTGGAGACCTGATGGCTTTGTACGGGGCGTAAAGCAACGGGTCTCTCGCTATTTTTTTGTTTTTGAACAAATGAAATACCTAGAATGTTTCTCTATTAATAAAAATCACTCTTAAAGACTTTATTTTTTCTTATTAATTAAAATAAGATTAATTTATAGGGATAAAAACCACTACGGATCCCTAAGCTTTCTCCGAGTCCGAGGAAAATTACCCAGCTCCTCCCTCTCGACGGCCATTATGACTGCATGAAATTCCATACTGTTTTGGTCATCGCCACACGATATTATTTAATTAAAGCCGCAATTTCAAAAGGCAATCTTCTGCATCAGCAAATTTTTTCATTAGGATTAGAAATCCTTCAAAAAATGATTACAAATTGACAATGCTTCCTAAGTTTTGCGATAGAATAAATTACTCGAAACCACCATCTGCTACTTTGTATTGTATACGAAAACGCGACACGTGGGAGATCTGCCGAGGGGGAATGACTCCCGAAAAGACCTTTAATGGGAAACTGGCCCCTATTTAGGTGTTAAAAACGTGAAGAAAATTCGGAAAATTCCACGTGGCCAACCTGTTGACAAGGCGCGAACCCACGACCCGCATTCAGCGGTTTTATCCGCTCGGCCACTGATAGGCTCATCCCCTACTAATTACGATTGATTGCCATTACGCAAGTTTTGGGTATTATATTAAGCATTGTTCTGAACTGTTTTATTTATTAAAATTTTGATTTTATTTCACATTTTACACTTTATTAACGAAGTTTTTTTTGGTTCGAATATCCAATTCGATCCAACAGAAAACCGAGTAATGTCCAATTTTTACTAATAATATAATAAGTGCATAGGTATGACCATAAAAAAATAAGAAATTTTATATAGGTTAATCGTAGTAGAAAATTTATTCCAGTCGTAAAAGCGGAGGTTGTAAAACGAGAGTCGTAAAATGTCCTTAATTAAACGGATTTTTTTCAAAACTCTTTCCGCCCCGTAGGAAATAGCAGGTGTATTGTTTAGCAAGCCTACAATGGATCGACCGACCAGTGAGGGATAAGGTCCGACATATCCGGATTCCCGAAAAATTCCTGGGGTTTTCGAACCGTTCAGATTCGATCTCGGATTCCTCAGAGTGGTCGGTTGCCATCTTAGCCGCTCGTCTATCTACGAAAAGAGAACCGAGACAGAAGACCCCTCTAATTTCTGAATAATACACAAAACAAACAACACAGTTTAAACTACACGAACGTCTGTAAAAAGGATTCTTTAGGGAAGGATAAAACTTCCAGACAAATAATTACATCAATAAATTTGTTTAATTATTTAATTTTTCGGGATTTTTGAAGACAAACAAAAAATCTTAAGACAGATCAAACGATCCATTGTCGAAGATGCGAGATTACATATCTTAATCACTTTTACCGTTATAATTTGAGGAATTTTTTACTCGTTCTCAGGGAGGGACAAGTGTCCCGTTTGTCCCCCTCTGAGGAAGCCCGTGACTATGAGTAAATATTGAATATAAAACAAAATTATATTTTTTCCTCTTACAATTTACTGTAATGAGTAGCATTTTGACTATACATAGTTAAAAAAAATCAACAATTTCATTTTTACTTTGTCTCAATTTGTTGAATTTTTATGCTAAACAGCAATTAAATTTTATTTAATGAATTTGTTATAATTTTATGAGTTATAATCACATTAAGTTAACTAATTTTTTCCTTTGTATCGTGGTTGGTAAAACTATAATGACATGAAGTTTTTGCGCTGTTTATTGGCACTGGGAAAGATCTATATTAAAAAAGCAAAATACCCATTAAAGATTTAGGACAGCGTAGTAAGGTTTTACAGTGTTTATTTTGTGCTCAGAAAAAAACCTTAGCTCTTAACACTAGAACGCCCAGAGGGGACAAATTGTCTCAACAAGCGATTTCATTAGCTATTATTTTATTGATTTTTATCAGGGTAGTAAATGCTTTTGTGGCTTTTTATCTTTTCCAAGTGAACTATGTATTATAGAAAATACAATTTGCTTTACGTATATTATTTGTGTTAAATATTATAATTCACTTTAGTCACTCGTAGCAGATGATTTGCCCACTGTATAAAAATGGCTTGAATTTCGAGAAAACAGCATTTTTAGTGTAGTTACGTGTTTCTTTCGGTGTTATTTTTCTTCTTAATTTTCCCTTACTTTTATGGGTATCATTTCTTAGAAATGATACACATAAAAGTAAGGGAATGTTGATGTATTTTTTATGTATTTTTTCTCTTCTATTTATTTTTCTTGCTTTTGTATATATAGATATTTCTGAGAAAAAAGTCTAATTTTTCTTCTTCTTCTAGTTTCTTTGCTCTATTGTTCCCGTTTCATCATTTTACTTGGTTTTGTGAGTAAGCATTTTTTGGATAGAGGTCAGATTTCATTTATCTTCCAGTTGCTTAGTTGTTTGG